CGCGCGGCGAGAAAGAGGGTACTTTCAGCCGTTAGCCAGCAAAGGGACCTTAATTCGTAGATTGTGTGCTACATATGTAATCAGCATGTCAGATAAAATCCATGCCCAGAGTCCTGAGTGAATTCGAAGTGTTTGAATTTTGTCGTTTGAGAAGCACTTCCGTGCTTTCTTGAAAGATAGGAACAAGATTTCAGTTTCTAATTGTATCCAAAAGTATCTATGTTGTACACGATATACATTACTATTAGAACTACGGTTTTTCCCTTCGTATTCAAAGCTAAGAAAATTTGCGACGTCGCACGCGTCGTTCGCGCTGCCGCACTTGCTCCGCGCTGCTGTTCGATTTGTGCTCATATCTCCTAAACAAATATCGGCTGCACAACTTTACATAGTTATCTGAAAAGTAGAAGCTTAGGCCTTTGACTTGATAACCTTGGACAAAAAGAAAACCTCCTGTAAATGTTGAAAAGGTCCTTCGAAGGCGCGTGCTGCACCATGTGCAGCACCGGTCCGAAACGTGTTAACTTTTTCTCGTATTTTTTCAACCTGGACTTAGCTATCCACTGGGAACATTCGATCATGGTTTTTGATAAAACTATCTTGCAACTTTTTCTCAAGTCGACCGTATTAGTGCGAAACGCGATCTAATTGCATTCGCTCATCTCCACTTCGTTTTTCTAGCTCAAAACCGGTGTCGAATAGTCTCGTGAGTTGAGTGCGAATCCGGGTTGCGCTCCATTTATATTATCGCGAATGTCGTTTGAAATGGTTTCTGTAGAGTTGCGTATCGTGAGTGTGCACAATTTTTTCCTGCAAATGTAGGTAATGTATGATTGAATCCAGTTTGGCTATGGCTAAAGATTTCGAGGCCATAAACTATCTATGAATGTGTTCCTTATATTGTATTTTTTCGGTAGCGCATTCCCAGATTCACTTTTCAAAGTATTTTCTTTACAAAAGAATAGCATTTCTGGAGCGTTTCATCGAAATACTCCAGTTTTTGGGACATGTTTTGTTGCGCATCGCAAAGTATTATTTAATTTTATTTGGTTATTTCGCGGGTTTCTAGGATTACATATAATCCTGATAAGGCCTGGACATTTGGCGGTTTATAGTGATCTTATGGGTGCCGACAATTCTGCGCGAAAATAAATTTCTATGACTCTGATGTCGACAGTCTGCAAGCTTTTCACCCCTTTTTGCTCGCAAGGGTTGTCTGAGCGAAAGATGGCTGTTTGGATAGATGTACTTTGGCTTTGAGTATTGTGAGGTTAAAGTCTGGCGCTCATTAGCGTCCTTAGTAATGAAAAACATGGAAGTGCATTTGATAATGACACTCTCGACCTTCTCCGCTCTCAAAGACCGAGCCTCATGAGTAGCTATTTGAGGCCTCAAGGATAGCCTTGGAGTACGGTAATGACTATGTGGTTTAATTTCTACGAAGCTCAAGCTGGGTCAACGTCAGCTTAGCGCGAATTTCTCGGGTTACCTTTCAATCCACACTTTTTGTCCCCGTGCTGGTGTGTTCATCCGGAAAAAACGCGAACAGAATCGTTCCAGTTCCTGTGCGGGTGCTTTTCAAGAACTTTCATTGTCGTTTTACACTGTTTGCATAGTGACGGACTCGGCGCCAGATGGCGCCGCTGGTAACACAACCGCCTTCGTCGAAGCGGATCTGTTCCGCCACAATGACACCGCTCCCGCCCCCCCCCCCCCCCACTCTCACGCACTCCACCATGCGCACAATTAGCTCCTGCGACACGCTCCACTCCATTGATGGGGGGGGGGGGGGCTGAGGCTCTATTGATTCTATGAAGTGAATGCCAATCCCACGAGATGATGTGATGCCATTGTCATTGTGTTGCTAGGAGGGTGGAGGAGGGGGGGGGAGGTGCGGTTGATGTTTTTAATTCGAGGACTTTCTTACAATGTTCTGCACTTTTCAATTGTCTTCGATACCACTTAAGCTCCTAAGAGCATTTTCATTCGCGGACTGTGATGAGCTACTTTTTCCTTCTCATTTTTTCGGAGCCAGCTCTCTCTTAGTGCTATTCTTGGAGCGCATGCCTTTCCCTAGAAGCCATTATGTCATGCGCAGTGGGTTCCGTTTTTGAGATGACGACGTATGTGCGAAGTCATACGCCATAAAGTGAAACGGGTTCCTACTATTTCCCTATCGTACCGTTACGCGACTTGCTGATGCGTTTCGGAAAAATTTTGTATTGTAACTTTAATGAAACGTATCTTTTTACGTCAATTAATATTTTCTAATCCTTGCGCTTTTCTTGACTTGAATGTCCCTTGAAAATCACCTCTTATTATTTTTACGTTCTTCACTAATCTCGGCTGTCACATGAGCATGTTTTGACATTGGAGCGTCAATCTATGCATACGCTCTCGTCTTTGATTTGATGGTAGCCTGAGGCAAATGAATGTTTTGCTAGAGTCCACTCACTGCTTTTTGAGTTCTGCCGAATATAAATCGACAAAAACCATGAGTGAAAGAAATACAGCCTAGTAGTTTTGACAAACATAGTTTTACTTTTTTTCTCGCTAAAGTTCTCTCAAGTTTATTCGCTGTGACTGAAAGTTTTTGTAAAACAAGGCCGAAGTAAAACATTGAAGACGCACGACTACTGCAATATCCGGTAATCTTTTTGCTTTTCTGTTATGCATTTGGACTTGACAGCCCATAGCTCTTAACATTCTTTTTTGGGGCAGCTGTCAGCTTTTTTCTTCGAGGCCTCCTTGAAACATAGCAGTCCTTCTATATATTTTCAAAGTTCAGTAACCATCGACATGGTTTTTTGGATTTTCCACAAATGTAGGTATCGCTGGATTGTATGTCTGTGTTGCTATTGAATCGCATAGTTCTTGTTGAACTTTTCTGTGTCACCCCGTAAAATTCTGTATTGTAATCTCATTCAAGGGAATTTCTTTTTTTATGTGATTGGGATCTCTCCTTTTTTAGTCTCATAGATCAGGCTGCTACATAAATTCACCTCCACATTGTCCTTGAGACCTTTCCGACCACTTATCGACCAGATCCTCCGTGTTCGTAGTTTTATTCTCCATGTTTTTGAATGGATCTCTGAGTGTTTGTTTTTAGGTCAGGCAATGTAGACTCAAATGCACTTTCTCAGAAGATTCCATTTGTTTTACATTTCGCATTGCACCCTGCTTTTCGCCTGTTTATGGCTGAAGACGTCGTCTTGGGTAGATCTATGGGTCTGCAATGAACGACATTCCTCTTTGCCTAATGAGATTTATCCATAGCTTTCCAACGTCAAGCCGGACCATATGGCTGCGTCGTTTGAGAAGTTTTTTGCCATCTTTGTCGCATATGATAGATGATTTGTACGTTAAGCTTACTATTGATACTAACCAAGGAGAGTCATATTTCTCTTAAGGGATTCCAAATTATTCATAATTAAAAAGTGGAAAGTTTCCTGGCAACTTACTTTCCTTTTGAGAATCTGGGGTATCACATGTTTTTGCAAGTTCAGTAAATTCCGAATTTGGTACTTTATTATTTTCTGAAAAAAAAACAGTTTGCAGTAGTGATCATTATATAAAGAAGAACTTGAAATTGAAATTGAAAATAAAAATTTTGTACCGTTCTGCCCGTTTTGTAGGTTGATCCCACGGAAATGTTTGCTCAACTGAGCTCGCAGCTGTACAAGCATTCAAAGAACATATTAGTCCTCCTTTCATGGACTCAAACGGCGAAATTCATTCAATTTCATGGCCTATGCATCCATTTCAACACTTCACTCGCGCTGCGCGAATGCAAAGCGTTTCAATAGTTAGTGTTTGCATTTCAATTTAGGCAATGCATTGTCATGGTTCTCCCAACTCAAGCGTTTGGAACAAGCCTAGCTCAATGCTGCCAATGGGAAACTTTCTTTATGAATGTTACCACTACAGTGACTTTGAATAAAAGCGCGTAACTAGCCACTTACACCGAAATTCTTATGGGTGCTTCTCAGAACATTTGCAGCCCTTAACCGCGATATTCTAGCAAAACTCACAAGCACGGCGCTATGAATTTTGAGATTCTTTCTTCTAGAATTGAATGTTATTGGGGTCGTGTCAGCTGGCCTTTGCCTTAGGCTCGCTGGCACTCTGAAAGGGACACTATGCTTGGTTCTGTATTTACCTACAGTGTTTCAATTCGTGATTGTCTACTTTATCTTATCATAGTTTCGAGAACAGGCTGGCCATTAGTTTTACTTTTTTTTCTCGGTACGCTTCAAGCGTAGTCGTAAATGAATAAATGAATAAATAAATAAATATTTTAAAAATCATGCCAATCATCCATAAATATAAACAAGTAACTTGCAAATTTCAACTAATATAAGCAGCTTCCAAAATCGTGACAATTCTGGAAGAACACCCCCGGCCTCCCTCAGTCCGCCACTGTCCCACCAGTATCTCAAATTATGAGACAGTCAATGATACTAGTCGGTGTTCCAATGAAGGAAGGTAATTGCGCTTTCTGAATCCAGACTGGTGCGATAAATTTTTATTTGGGACTTGACGATTAGATCATGGCATTTGGATGTCCTGGAATCTGTTTGTAATAAGTTAAAAATTATGCTTGTCTTGAAAATTTAACCATTACAATAAAGTAGTGAAAAGTAGTGAACGAATAGCCTTCCTGCTATGAAGTCCGACTTACTTGCACACTCAAGCAAAATGGGCAGCATTTGCAGGTTTTTGTTCAGTCCCTTTTGATATTTTTGAATGATTTCTTTTGAGAATTTCTCTTCTCCTTGTGGAACTATCTTCCTTTCCTTTTACGTATTCTCAGTTGCGCCCGCGACCTATGCATGCTATTACACGGATGAGTGCATCCGTGCGGAAAGCTGTAATCGAAAAGCAGAACGTTGTTGTAGTTCCGAGTGGAAACAGTTCTGGCTATAGCTTCTTACTGCCATTTTTCGTGGTCTGTCGGTGAAAGGTATTGAAAACACTGTCCACCCAGATTTTCGATTTCCATGTTCTTCTCGTTCCGGGACCTCCTTGTCCCTGATTCCGAATATAAATCGAGAATCCGCGAAAACCCCAACAATTCCCGTTTCGGAGACGCGGTCGACTTCCTTAACGGTGATTGGCTGAGCGCGCACGGGTGGGTGGGCATGGATGAGGAGGGCGGTGCCATCTGTGGATCCTCGTGCATATCCGTCATTCGGGAGCGACCTTTTCGCTTCCGTAGAGACATTTTGCGCCGCGACTTGGGCATTGGCTTGATGGGGGGCCCTACTATATCATTTATTAAGGTGGACGGTGCCTTTAAGGTTTAAGGTTTTATTTTTTATTCCTGTGACTAGGGTACGGCTACATTAGAACTCCGTTGATGTTGCCGGAATGGTTTAAAACTGTTTTTCAATTTCTGTGCATCATGTTCTTTGCTCTGAATGATGCGGAGAATCAGGATCAGAAGAAGTTTACCTTGCAGGTGGTCCAAATGTGATTTTATAGATTTGTGCATCTTTTCATGCCCATTAATCCAGACCTAAAGAAATAATAATATAATAAAATAAATACATCTACATACAACAACTTTTGGCGTCATCTACGGGCATTGAACTTCGTGTTTTTTCATACATATGCATTTTTATAGTATACTAGTTGACTTACCCGGCTCCACCCGGCCCTGTCATTATTATATTTGTAATCGGCATGCTCGATTACCCCCCTGTGCCAACTCCCAGCCCCGTAGCTCAAATTTTGCAAAAAATTGATAAAATCGATATCGATCGATGACGAAAAGTAGCCCATGACACCCGCCGGGGCCCAAGTGTATGTGTGCCAAGTTTGGTCCGGATCGGTTCAGAAATGGAATTTTCTATTCGGAACATACGTACAGACATACAGACAGACAGACAGACAGACAAACAGACATTCAGCTTTATATATAAGAAGATTAATGAGCACTTCAAAAATCTTTCCGTATCATTCCTCTCTTGTCTTTCTAGCCCAGATCTATATCTAGAAAGTTCTCATGGCTGGGCACTCGAGTTGGCTTGCAGAGAAACTAAGGCAATGTTTGCTTGGGTTGAACAGTTGTTGTTTTTTCATGATCCCCACGGAGAGTAAAGAACTGGAACTCTCATTGTCAGTGAAGCAACCCACCACAATGTCCTTTGGAAAACCTCCTCGTTGAATTATTTTGCACTCGGCATCATTTCCATGCAAGCGTTTCGCCTTGCAAGAGGCGTCGATGCTTTTCGTATGCAGATTTTCTTTTCATTCTAGAGAAGTGGCAAGAATTGATAATGACGTTTCGAAGCAGCAAGACATGCTGCGGCGAACCTTTTGCCTCGTCTAGAATTTTCGTCCTATTTTTAACTGGTACTTGTTTCAAAGTTTTGTTGTGGTGGTGATTCTCTGTTTTCGCCGCTATAGAACACGTGTTTTTTCTAATCTTACTGATAAGGGATGTTTCTTTCATGGGTGTTTTGCTAGAATGTACTTTTCCCTCATAACATCATGCGATGTAACGATATCATCATTCGCATATAAGTATGCGTAGGCTATGTGCATCATAACAAGAAAGAGATAGAAGTGAGAGCAGTTTTTTTTGGTGTGAAAAATTATTCATTGACTGTACTTGTCTGAAATAATGCTGCACAACCTTCTTTTGTGTTACGTCAATTTTGGAACAGTTGTTATCAATAATTTCTCAAACAAGCAAAAGGGAGGGGTGTAGTTTGAAAAGATGAGCTAATTAATTTTTTGCGAATTCTAGTTTTCCACTGCACGTTCTCTGGGCAAAGGTGGCAAGAATATTCATGATTTCTTCCTCTTTTGGCAAGCCACTGGTGTTCTTGGTCAATGATGAAAGTACTGTCCACCCAGATCCTCGACTTCTATTCTTCTAGTTTCGTCCTTCTCATATTCCGAATACGAAGTCGAGCATCAGCGAAAACCGCGACAATCCCTCTTTGAAAAAAAGGTGATGGGCGGGCATTACTGGAGGGGCGGCGCCGCCTAGGGGTCCTCGCCCCCCTGAGATATCTCGGAGCAATGTTCTCGCTTCCAAAGCCACATTTTGCCCAACGACTTGGGCATTTACTTACTAGGGGGCCCTACTACCGTATGCTGCCAGAAGCTCAAGACCCCTTATCTAGGATGGATGGTGCCTCTAACCAAGGTCATGAGTGACTTTCGTAAAAGCTTTTGTATTATAAAACCCCGGTCATGGTCTACTTATATTCACACCATTCGTACCCCTTTTGCTATGGCCTTAATTTGACTTCAACCCTCTCTTCAATGCAGTAATTTTCTTCTGCAGGTCGACCATAATTGGTACTTTTCGGTGTTTGAAACTTTACTAATCGGCTCACTGTACTTGTTCTGGTGCCTTGCTCATGTGTACCGTATTTCGCTTACGAGAATACGCTTTTGAACATGGAACTATCATCTTGGCGCACTTTGATGTATCATGTGATACACTTTCCACACAATTAACCAGTTCTGCTTTTCTTCTTCTTTTGAAGTTACAATTTTTCATATCTCAGTTGTCAATCATGCATTGGGTGTGTGCATGCAAACCCGGATGTTTCTTTTTTATATCATCTGAGAATTGCAAACTCCTATCTTATCATTTGTATTATTTGATCATAAAAAATTATCTTTCGTGACAGCGCCCTGTTTGCTCACTTACTCATTGGAGGGGTTATGGATTTTTTGGCAGAAGAAAACTCATGTTTACTCTTGGTATTTCGCGATTTTGAGTTAGCAACTTTGAGAATGACTGCTCATTTTTTGCTCCGAAAAATTGCAAAATCTTCTTGTTTGATCCAGAATGTTATCAAAACCAGTAACTCTCTAAAATTCTATTCCAGTAAAATTTGCAAACGCACATCCTGCTCCTTAACCTCTTAATGCGTAGGAATATTACAAAGCTTATGTTTTTCTCATAAATCATCGTTAGTGAGTTTTACGTCGGTTGCTCGTCAAATTCACTTGACTTGATGTTTATGTTTGCTTTCGGCGCACTCTTTTTTTTTTCGATTACCCTGGCAACCAACGTCGAGAGAGGCGGTTGAGAGGTTGTCATTGTTGCTCTATGTAAAAGAGAAGAATGCTGTCGCCGTCATGTTTTTCTTTTCTCCAATTGAAATTGTTCTGTTACGGTTCACTGAGACATCTGAGACGGTGCGTTTCTCATTTCAGACCGGTTACTTTCTACCGCTCTGAAATTGTTTCTCTCATTCTAAGAAAAGTTCTTCCACAGTTTTACCTTTTGCCTTCTTCTTATTCCTCTACTTCATCGAATTCGAAAAATTTCCTTCGAAAATTTACTCAACTTGAGCGGAGCTTTTTTTTTCAGGCTCGCGTTTATCGCTGGGGCTGTGCGTCGTCGCGTATCCCATTGTCACCACGTATACACCATCCTCATCGACTGTTCGCCGTTAGAGAAGTGATAGCCAGGCACGAACGAGGTAAAGCTTTTCTATTCGAAAGTTTTTATTATTATCATTTGCTAAAATGGTTAGTGTACATTAAGATCTTTGATGCTTATTGGGCTTTTTTCGTCTTCTTTTTGAAAAATCTGATATCGTTGCAACTGGGTTCCATTTCATTTACCCTCATTGCTCTTTATTTTTGTTATGCAAAGAACTATCCAACTTTTTTTCCGGTGTCGATTTTTTATTTTTCTGCATTCAATTTCTCAGCAGCTTTTTTCTCCGATTCACATCACTACCATTCTATGCTCGCTTCACTCGTCCATGGTTAAACTTTTGACTGCGGTCCTTTTTTTCCACTTTTCTTAGTATCTGCAAGTGGCATATCTTTCGTAAGACTTTTCTTTTTGTAAAATCCTTCAAACTTTCCTATTTTTTGAGCTTTATATACTAGGTTATCTCCATTGATTTTTCGCATATCTATTTCTTTGTTTATTATACTTAAGCGAGTTCGTTCTTATGCAGATTCCACATCATATCTTAACTAAAGTTGGATAAGTACGTTTCATGCAAAAAGCCGCCCTAGTCTGACCGCACTTCTTTATAATTTTACAACAAGTCCATTTGAGCTTGCTAGCCTAGGCCCTAGATTCATCTTTAGAGTAGCTGCCTAAACTCACCCGAGCAAGGTTTAGAGTCATTTTTGGATTACTTGTTTTTATTATCGTTTTTTCACTGTCATGTCTTTTTTACTAAATTCGTTTTACTTTGTACTCTTTTCAAATGAATGCATATAACTGTTTCCCGCCTGAGGCTGAATTCCTCTACTTAGGTTTTTGTAGCTTCTTGGCCTTTGATTCTTCGCTACCTTTATCTCTTTAGAATGAATTTAACCTTTATCATTTTTGGTAAAAGCTCACAATAATTTCCTGTGTGGAAAGATGCCTATTTCTCTCCATCGCATGACACGCCAATTATCTAAAAAAGTGTATTTTCAGCAATTTAAGATTTCTTTGTCAAATTTCGAGCCTGATTTAAATCTGTTTGCTCTCACTTCTATCGTATCTGTGCTAAGCTGTGCGTATATTATAGCTATTTAGCTGTAGACGTGCAGTGTTCAGCTGTGGCTATCGATTCGCATACCCAATACATAGCATACGAAGAGCGTTTTGTTGAATTTTTCGAGTGAACGTGCATTTCTCCGATCTCGGCTCGCTGCTTTGTACATAACTAAGTTCTTCAGCAAACTCGTAATCAGGCGGGCCCGAAAATTTTGCGAAAAATTTGCGTGTTTTCACGAGAATTTCAGTTTGCATGATTTATTGTTCGGTTGCATTTTTGCAATCTGTCATTTATGGTTGTCGCTGCTTGCGGTTTCTTTTTATTTGTCGGTGATTGTGCAAAGGACACAATGTCAGAAACACATCTGATAGTGGCTAACTTGCGTCATAGGAATTTGTTTTTTGTCGTATTTTAGTTTATCTGTTGCTGTGATGTATCGTTAGCGATAATAAAGTGTGAATGAGGCATCTAGGAGAAATGCATGGTTAACAATTCTCTTTTGAATAGAAGAAATGCCATTTTTTACTTTGTTTCTAACTTCTCTTAGCAATGTAATTATCATATTTACGATTGCACCATGAATCATACGTTGCCGCCTTAATTTTGTGACTATTTGACATTTTGTTTGTGCTCAAATATATATTGACAGTTTTCTGGTTTAGCACTGTTTAATCCATATCGACTAGCACGTCAGCTTAATTATTGTAGGTTCCTTGATTACTGTACAGCTTCCCGAATTTTCTTGGCGACCAACAATGGCGGCTGAAGAACGATTGCGAAGTGAGTTGAAGCTTTGAAATTCTAATGGTCTGTTTGCAATATTTTTGGGCACAAAATTCATGGGTAGGAAGTGCTCGGCACGAGGTGGCTAGTTGAAAATGCAAAAAACAAGGTCCCCTTTGACCCTAGGCCATAATTCCTAGAAAAAAATCTAAAAAACGAAAAGTTGATTAAAAAAACGTCGCAATTTTTGTGTCTTTTCGGCCACAAAAACGAAACCTCCTTTGCTTTTTGTCCCAAAAACGATATCCAGCTTGCTCATAAACCACCTGTGCCGAACAATGTGGGTAGGAGCTTTGAGACTCTTCTAGCCTTTCACATATCAAGTTTTTTATTTTTACCACGTGCTATAGTGTTTTGGCTACGGTAGGCATACGGTGGAGCGGATCAAATTCATCAGTATGCCTGAAATATCCAAAACTTTCTTTAATATTCCACAAATGCTGGAGAAGTACGATATCTGATCAGCTTGCTGCAAGTTTGAGTATTAAACAATCTACAAATTTCTGTCTTTGGGCCACTTATCGCGTCGAGTTTTGTTCGAGTTTTTATTGCTCAAAAAAAGGTTCAAATCTCGTAAAACTGTGTGCCTTTGACTTTTCCATTAGCTTCACATTCTTGTAATCGGCCCTACTTTGCTTTAACTTTTTCATACACAGTTGGTAGAAGTATATTTAGATTTTATTGGGTCATAATGGCCATATGTTCATAGAAGAGATAAGCAAATGTCAGAGAAACTATCTCTGACAGCATGTGGAGTGCTAGAAAGAACAACAGATGTTTGCTTGTTATCTTTCCATTGAAATTAGGTATAAAATCTATTCGAATTGCTCATCAAAGTTTCGTGCAATTTTTTCGAGCCCAGAAATACATCAAAACACAGCGATTCCAGTACGTACTTATATTACAACACTTTCAGCTACCGTCCCGGACGTGGAACATGTCAAGGGTATGACTATAGACGAAAGCATGTTGAAGCCGTCTTCGTTTTCATTCAGTGGTAAGTTCCAATTTTTATAATCGAAAGTATATTTAACCAAGATTACAGATAGGAGTAAATCATATATTGCTAACACAAAACTGAGTTTTGATCAAACTGTGTAGTTAGTGGATAGTTTGTAGCACTACCTTTTGGGTGAATGATTCGTATATTTTGAGTAAATAATTTTTGTGGAGTTTATAACTGTAGTGGAGTTGAACTACATAACTTAGAACTCTGCAGTCGTTCACATTTTTTAGCGTTCAGATTTAAATCCAAGCAAATGTTTACCTTGGTTTCTTATGTGGATGCGATGACCTTGATAATGTTCAATGAACTTTCCGCTTGATATAGTGTGCTTGCGGTGTCGAGATCTTGCGGTAAAATTTGCGCGTGAACAAATAGCCATTCAAGTGATAGCGGCAATTTGCGTGCGCAAGTGGCCGACATCACAGGAGTATAGCTATATGTTCACGTGTACATATTCGCAGATTCTCGGCATTGGATAATACTGTATTGAGCGGTTTTAACATACTTGCAACAAAAATTTTTGAAGTACCCTACCCGGTAAAGGCAAAGGCAGCATTAGTTGAGCGGGTGCGAACGGTTGCGCGCGGTGTATTCACTTTGTAGAACTTGCGCCTCATGCTGCGGCAAATAAACCGCTTTCGCTCCCCTAAGTTTGCGCCTCCGTTTGGTGGTGGCATGTTTTAGACCAAAGCTATTGTAGCTCCACGATTGCTGCTACCCCTGCTTTGCATCTCTAATCACTGAACATGTTGCATGTTTACAGCATCTTACATGTTGGCAACATGCAACAGCATGTTAGCAACATGCATGAAAATGTTAGCGATATGCAACAACGTGTGGGAACATTCAGCAACTTGTTGGCAGCAGCAAAAAATGTTGGCAACATGCTTGAACATGTTAGCAACATGCAACAACGTGTTGGGTACTGCAACAACAGTTGGCAACATGCAACAACAGTTGGCAACATGCATGAACATGTTGACAACATGTTGCAATACATTTCGGCTGTTAGCCTCAACGCCAACATGTTAGGCCATGCTTGGTGCGTCAGAGGCGAGCAGGGGTACCAGCATTTGTGTACGGGCAGTATAGCTCAAGCGGCTGCATATTTCGCCCATATGTTTATACATATGTTTCTATGGGCAAGGAATCAAAGCCATCTCTAAACCCCACCGGAGACATTGCTTTGTCTCGCACTCGAGGACGCCGAGCACGCTCGCGAATATTACGGCATAGACTGGATTTTAGAAGTAACCTTTTGGGAATCATTCAGTCTATGCCCAGAATATCCCTCTATTGGTAAGCCTGGTTCGACAGGGGTTCAGTCGGTAAACCTGTCATTCCGAAGGCTCCAGGCATGCCATCTGGTGTAAGGGGGGGGGGGGCACCAGCGCACACTTGGCCGACTGGTGTGCAAATTACTATCTATATTCACTCTTGGGAAAATACGACCTCAGTTCTAGCGGCAATGAGCTCGATTATAAAAGCCTGTATTTCCAGAGGTGGACCTGATGTCCATTTTGCCTGCTACATGTTACTAACCCCTCTTTGAGTTCGTTGAGTTGGACGCTCTAACTTTCAGTTTTTGTTGCAGCGCACATATGTGCAGAAATAAATAAATAAATAAATAAATAATTGCTGGCGCTTAGTTAACAGCTTACTTCAGTCAGTCTGTCTAAAGAGTTGAGATAGATTTTCCTGGACATTTTCGATAGGGTGCTTCATTCTATTAAAAAATTTTTTCAATGATGTCATTGCAGTGCGAGATGCTTGCGTAGCTGCCGGCCAAGTCGATGCAAAAGTTTTCCGCGACAGTGAACAACCAGCCACCATAATGTCACACTTAGAGCAATTTCGTCGGCATCAGAATATGTGTGACGTAATCTTAGAGGTGAGAGTGCATATCTAGTATCTAGTAATGGGTTTTCTGAGGGAATTATTACAGGTTGAGGGGCAAACGTTAGTTGCACATCGTTTCATACTCGCCGCAGCGATACCATACTTCCGAGCGATGTTTGGCTATGATGTCGTTGAAGCAAAAATGGATAAGATTTCATTAAACGTGAGTGATTTAGCTTGAGCTTTTCTTAAAAAAAAGTTTCCTGCAATCATATTCTATCTTTCATTTGCATATTTTGAGCTGTTTTCTAAAAGTGTAGCAATTCTTTGATTTTCTAACATTTGTTATGCTTCATGGATAAGAGCAATTTGAGATGTGCAAGAAACTTTGCTGGTAGCAGCAGTCTGCTTCAATACATCTGCTGAGGTTTTTTCAATAAATTAGATTTGCCCAGCGCATCTGGTTTGCAAGAATTCTTTATGATCTAATTTTGCCAATATGCCCGTTTAGATGGAGATATGTTCTTCATTCAGTAAAGTGGTGTTTTTAAAGTACAAACGGGAGAGTTGGGAGGAAGCGGGGCGCTTTTTTGCATTGCGGAGTGCTATAAATTTTTTTTAAAGTTAGATAAAGTTCTTCACTAACGAACTTGACCGAATTCTTCTTTAGCATCAGTTCGTCGTATACACTTCCTCTTCAAAATTCCCTTAATTTTTGCGGAATTGATTTTTTTTAGGATATATCGTTCGAAGCATTGGAAGCACTTGTAAATTTTGTCTACACTAGCGAAATATCAATCAACAGCGAAAACGTACAAAATCTACTTTTTGCCGCCTCTATACTGCAGGTAAGTAATTTTTCTTCCGTATAAAATTTTGTCATTTGTTTTTTTTTGTAAATTTAGATGGATTCTGTATGCTACGCTTGTCAACGATTTATGACGCAACTGTTGACAACGAAAAATTGCCTTTTAATTAGACAATTCGCCGAACAGCACAATTGTGTGGATCTATTGAATAGCTCCGATGATTTTGCTGTCGACCATTTTATTGTGAGTTTTTGTTTTCATTGTATTCGTTTGACTTCTGATTTCATGCTTTCAGTCGAAGCTTGTTAGTCAAGTTTTGAGTGTTTGAACTTCTGTGTTGGTGACTTTTTTTGGGACTTGCTATAGCAAAATTTCCTGCGGCTGCTGTTCACAAGACCAGTAGAAGGGAGCGTCACGAGCAAGACAAGGAAGTAGCTGGTTATAGAGGCGAAGTTGGGAAGAATAATAATATGGGGTAAGGGGCCGAAATTACTGGTAGTTCTAAGTAGTTATACTAGTTGCTGTACGTCTACGGTGGTCAGTGAGTGATTTACATAGTCTCGCTTTTGTAAGCTATATGATCTTGTTCCAGCGGTGGGGGCAAAAACTAAGAAAAAAACTTTTTGGGCTTCCAGGTTTTCAAACATCATCATAGTGTTTATATAAACTCTGGAGAAGATTGAATCTACGCAGCGCATGGGGCTGCCAGAGCCTATAGTTCATGTTGGCTGCCTCTCAACAGTATTTCTTGCTAAAGAAATACTTTTCAAATTGTTTCTAGGGTCGTTGTATTAGAGGGTAGAGTATCCGAATAGAGAAGGCTGAACAAGGCTAATAGATGCATGTTTAATTTGAAAATTACGTTTTAGGAACTTCGAGAACTGGATGAGTTCAAACAGATAGCCTTTCCACATCTACGGGATCTAATCAGAAGAAGTGATCTGAAGATCACGAGTGAAGAGCAGGTGAGGCGTAGTGCTCATTTTTAAGATTAGACATCATCCTAAACAATAAGCGCAACAATGATTAAGATAGAAAACATATATTCATGAAAATTTCCCGTTGTTTTGTCTGAACAGGATGTTTCTTATTGAGAAGAAATGAAAGAAAGCTGTTGAATGATGTGCGGTTGGTGTTTGAACTAGGCAGAGGGAAGTAAATTTCTTTTCATGAACCAGTGCGTTTTCCAGGTATTCGAAACCGTAATTGATTGGATGGAAGCAAACCCTTGCGAGAGGAAGCATCATCTACCCGAGCTACTTTCGCTAGTACGTCTACCCCAGCTAAGCATGCAATATCTGGTTGAAAATGTACGGCAAAACAGCATGATTAAGGTAAGTCTGATTATCGCAGCTTTGTAGGTTAGGGGACCCATGTAAAAAATTTTAGGAGTCAAGAGAGTGCACAGATCTTGTTTCGGAAGCGCTATTCATCATGCTTTCACCGTTAAAGGGTACACCATTACCCGTAGGTGCAGCTATTAATGATGAAGGCGGTGGACAGTATGCTGCTGGATCATCATTGGTGAGTTCTTACTATTTTTAGCTCATTTGCTAGTTGAAACCAGTTCTTGATACCTGGGTTTGTTATGCGGCTACTGATTGGCGTTTGAGTTAACGCTGGCAGCTCTCAATAGTATATTCGTGGCCGAAGGTTTAACTCTGATTTCTTCCTGTATCGTATCCATCCGGAACAATCAACATCGTCGTTTACGGTACTGGGCTAGAGTTTGGAGCTGAATTTCTTGGCCAGGACTGAGTCATGTGCTGCTTGGGCGGTTACTCACTCCAGCATTCTTGTTCGCTATCCATATCAAAAGCCAAATACCGATTGTATGATCTGCCTGGCATTGTCCTCAGAAGTGCTATTATAATTCTATGGAAGGAGCTTTTTTTTATAAAGATTAATAATGCGATTCTTCCAGTCCATCCCTCGCCCATTGTCCCCGTCATCGCAAGCGCTTCGCAGTCGACCACGAAAGAGTGTTGCTGGCGTAATATTCTGTGCTGGTGGACGAGGTGAGTTTTCATCTGCTCACTATCTTTCTCTTTTTTTGCAATCTTGTTTTTTGTCAAATGCAAGCAATAGAGATTTTTAGGCACCGGCGGAGACCCGTTCCGATCTGTGGAAGCATTTGATTGTAGATTAAATCGTTGGATCTCAATATGCGAAATGACACAACAACGGCGACATGTCGGAGTTGTCAGTGCTCTAGGAAAACTGTGAGTATCGAATTTCACTAAGCCTCTTCGTTTTGTTTTTTATTTATTTTTTTTAACCTCCGGGTTGTAAAGATTCCTTGTTTTCAAATAGTATGGCTATATCACCGCTCTCGCAGTAGAACTTGTTTGTGGCACACGCTTTCATCCGCGCCAATCAAATTTTTGAAAGCGTGTGCCGTGAGCCATGTCTTACTGTAGGTGTACGGTAAGTGTGTCAATGCCAAAACTTGCATTGAATTTATAATCAAAGCTGGAAAATCTTTATCATAATGGTTTTTAGATTTGCCATTGGCGGTCATGATGGTATGCAACATCTTGCGTCAGCTGAAGTATTTGACCCACGCGAAGGTGTTGGTTGGCGACGAGTGGCACCGATGCGTACTTGCCGACGCGGAATAGCTGCAGCTGCTTTGGATGGGGCTATTTATGCTGTAGGAGGACTGGATGACACCACATGCTTTAGCGTAAGATTGCGAAGAGTTTGGGGCAGTGCATTTAGTACATACCGATTTTATAGACGGTCGAAAGGTACGACATCGAATCTAATACATGGACGGATGTTGCGTCAATGAATGTGCGTCGTGGTGGTGTTGGTGTCAGCGCCTTAGGTATGTTTCAACTACTATTTCTTCTATGTGCTGGGAAGATTCGCATAGAGGAAGCATCCAGGCATATCTGGACTATGGGGCTCTCACGTGGATAGTAATTTTGGGGCCCATACTAAGGCAATGCTCAAGCGGCAGCGCAGGTGACTAACTAACGGCTGAGATTTACGCCTCCAAACTGAACCCCAGGATCGTATTCGCATGGATTTATGGCAGCTTCGCGCGAGGACCCACGCTTTGCGCCATGAATCCAAGCGAAATACGATGGATCCAGTACCGAAGGGAATATCTCAACCGTTAGAGCACTACCTTAGCCGGTTGGGCAGCGGCTTAGTTAGGACCCCAAAATTACCATCCACGTGAGATCCCCATGTGTCCAGACTTGCCTGGACGCTGCCTATAAGTCAAAATCAATTTTTAAGGCAAATTCTTGTTTGCTGTTGGTGGCAACGATGGCTCGTCTTCTCTCGACTCATGCGAACGCTATGATCCTGTTCTGGATAAATGGAAGCTCGTAGCAAAAATGACAAATCGAAGGTTAGACTATCTTTTAGAAAAGTATAGTGGTGAATTTAATAGTGTGACTTACAGAGCTGGAGCGGGTGTATGCGTGCTAGATGGTGCACTTTATGCACTTGGTGGCTTCGATGATAATTCACCTTTATGCACATGCGAGCGATACGATCCACATACGGATCAGTGGACTCAGCTTGCAAATATGACCTTTTCGAGAGGTAAGCAATGTTCTTTCCGCTTACTTACAGATTAGTACGAATCTGTAATCTGCAGCGGCGTTTTGAGGTGTATGGAAGTCTCTGAAAAGACAGATATCTTTGCACTCAGAAAATTATTCTTAGGTGGTGTTGGCGTAGCATCTATGGGTGGTTTGGTCTATGCAATAGGCGGACACGATGGCCAACATTACCTGAACACCGTGGAAGCCTATGATCCTGTCACTAATTCATGGACACCTGTTACGGACATAAAAGATTGTCGCGCAGGTGCTGGTGTTGCTTGGGCCGATTGCAGGTATGTGTTTCTGGGCAGCATCTAGAATTTCCCATTGCAGCACCGTGTCAGCGCGGTGCCTGCTAAGGTGCCTCAGATCCGGCACGGTGCTGGCACGAAGCTGGCACGTGCTAGCTTTGGGCGCATTATAGTACTTGACAATTTTTAGTGTTGACGATCTTTTGCGGCCATTCCAATCAGACAGCGGTTATGCACCATCTGGTGGTAATCAGTGTATATAGGGCGATCAAATCGAGCTTGGGGCTTCCAAAAATTGTGGATTGCTTCATGAGTTGGGTGAGATATTCCCCGTGAATAACATGAACTCGTGACTTTTTGAGATTATTGCATTTGCTTGCCTGTGTCCATTCATGTACAACGGTGACTGTAATAGGGTAATATTTGCTTATTTTATGCATTTTTTTGTATTTGATGCCCGCATTTGTCTGTACTTACTAGTCTTTCGTTCTTCCTTCCTTCCCTTTCTGTCTCTCATCATATTTAGCAAACTTTCGTAGGCTTCTGTCAATTCATCTCTGTATACGGTAGGACTTATGTAAGTATATCCAATCAGTACTGTGCATGGCTGTAGTTTATCGGTTCCTTCACCATTGCATAATGTTAGTCATATTTTTCTAGGTTGTTTAGCTTCACTTAGGTTTTCAAAATTCCCCCACCCCTCTCACTCGTATACGTTGTTCTCGATTCGGTGCATTTTGATGTCACGACACAAGGTATATTGTTTTGCATTTTGTTCTGAACAAAATTTGTGGTTTATAAAACTTGGTATCTGAATTTTTTACACTGTCTAACTGGACATTCAAAGGTACCGTCCACCCAAATTGAAATATAACAGCGGAGCTCCTAACTAAGTCTGTTGCAAAGATGAATTCCGAAGCGAGAAAATCGTTTGTGAAGATAGAAGCGGCCGAGGTAAGAGTTTAGAAGTGAGCTTCAAAGTAGATCACTACGTAATGTAATTTGGAATCGTTGTTTACCACTTGGCTACCCCTGATCAGAGGTGCGATAGTGGGAGCCTATTCTCCCCCTACCTTCACTTTTGAGCTGGTACAGGGTGACCACCTTCACTTTTGGAATAAAAATTTTTTCGCCGGACGACAAAGAAGGAAAATAAGCAAAACAAACGCAAAAAAGATTATTGAAAGCATATATTTATGTATACGGCGGCATATATATTTAAAATAAACGTGTTCAGTAAATGGTGTATTTGGAAGTAAAACTTAGCGAAACTGTACGGATTTTATTTAGTAAGTTTTGTCATAATGTAGCGCGAAGGAAGTAGGTCGATCCAGGGAATAACCGCCTAGAACCAGAATTTTGAATAATTAAATAGTGAAAAATCATGCAAAATTTCCAGTGTTATAAATCTGTTGTTTGAAGATACCAGCAGTTGCGACTTCATAGTTTTTGAAGAGTAAATGGTGCTCTATCAGATAGTGAAGGAATCGAGTCGATTTGAGAGATAGTCGTTGAAAACCAGAATTCTAAAAATTTATGCCATTTTTGCGTGTTTTTTGACTGCTGGCAGTTAAACTCATATAAATCTTGGATGTGAAAGTGTGTGATGTTGCGACTTCATAGGTTTTATAGAGTAAAATTTGCCTTATCAGGGTGTATCTTAGTCGTTCCGATCCATTGAAACACCTCCGAGATCCAGAGTCTTGAAAAAGCAGGTAAAAAAGCGCTTTTTGAATTTCAACAGCTCATAACTTCCTCAGAACCGCATGAATCAAGTTGCGACTTCATGAGTTAGATTCTTCTCATCAAGAGCTTTCAGATGATATATAATATGCTGAGTTAGATTCTTCTCATCAAGAGCTTTCAGATGATATGATATATAATATGCGGGGGTTTAGAGCCTCCTACGAATTATGCCCGTGGGGGGAGCCTTTTCATACCAAAGTCTCCCCCCTCCAATACATTAAAGTGGGCCAGGGGGAGACTTTGGTATGAAAACGCTCCCCCCCACGGGCATAATTCGTAGGAGGCTCTAAACCCCCGCATATTATATATCATCTGAAAGCTCTTGATGAGAAGAATCTAACTCAGCATATTATATATCATCTGAAAGCTCTTGATGAGAAGAATCTAACTCATGAAGTCGCAACTTGATTCATGCGGTTCTGAGGAAGTTATGAGCTGTTGAAATTCAAAAAGCGCTTTTTTACCTGCTTTTTCAAGACTCTAAATCTCGGAGGTGTTTCAATGGATCGGAACGACTAAGATGCATCCTGATAAGGCAAACCTTACTTCTATAAAACCTATGAAGTCGCTACATCACACACTTTCACATTCAAGATTCATATGAGTTTAACTGTCAGCAGTCAAAAAACACGCAAAAATGGCGTAAATATTTAGAATTCTGGTTTTCAACGACTATCTCTCAAATCCACTCGATTCTCTCATTAGCTGATAGAGCACCATTTACTCTTCAAAACCTATGAAGTCGCAACTGCTGACATCTTCAAACAACAGATTTATAACACTGGAAATTTTGCATGATTTTTCATTATTTAATTATTCAAAATTCTGGTTCTCGGTCGTTACTGCCTGGATCGATCTACTTTCTTCGCTGTACGTCATAACTAAATTTGCTTATTAAAATCCATACAGTCCAACAAACTTTTACTTTTAAATACACCATTTACTGAACACGTCTATTTTAAATTTTCATAAATAAAATTTATAAATATTTTTAATATTTATCGCATCTGTGGCCCTAAAGAGGGCCGTTGGGTCACAGTTCGACCTAGAAAGATAGCTCTGTTCGTCCGTTCTACCCCCCCCCCCCGTCGACGTTTTTGGGGGGTAAGTGTCCGACACTACCACCTTCACTTTTGGCCGGCCAATGGTAGCTGGGACCACCTTCACTTTTGGTGGGCCCGGCTCCCCCCATCGCACCTCTGCCCCTGATCCGTGGAACATGGCAAACGAGGAGGCAGCAAACGGAGAAATTGTGATGAAATACACGATCTTTGACTTTGGATTGCTACCAAGTGGCATGCGTTTTGGAACGCTGCCAAATATCAAAAGGGTCACACGCATTTCGAAAGGCAATCATGAGTGCCGCAATGATTTTGAGACTGGGTCGCCAGTGTCCGGGTGTGTTATTTGTTCCCGCTTTTTTTTCGAGCTTGTTATCCCAGAATGTGTCTTTCAAATATGTTGTGCCCTATTAGTTGCTTTTGAGATGATGCCAAATTGCGTAATAGCGTGACTTGAGCTAAATTCATGTATGTTCTCAACTTTTTTGGTAAAAATGCTCTAACTAAGAATAGTTACTTTTGGACTATCTCGCTTCCGCGCGTAGACAAGAGGGTGCGTACAGGGCTTTACAACCTGAGTTTCCCACCCGCCCCGCTAGGACGCCACGCTTAGGTCCGCGCAGCGTTCGTGGCGGTGGCTGCGCGTCGACTGAAGCTTGGCGAAATCCGGGCGATACGCAGCAAACGCCGCGCGCGGCCTGAGCGAGGCGGCCGCGTTGGAGGAGCCGCGCAAGCGAAACTTGCGACTCTCAGGTTGAAAAGCCCTGTAAGTAACTTGGTCTCGGTGATACTTTTGGAAGCGTTTATCTAAAAACAGCCTTGCTTTTGCTCGTGTAACTGGGTCCTGCTGGTGCTTTCAACTAGGTGTCGGAGTGTAAGCGGCACGTAAGGCAAATCGATCGGGCAGGGAAACAGATTTTTGTACGTTTAGGCAGTTCGCAGAATTGAAAGTCTAAAATGGCATGTATCTCAGCTTGAGAATCGCTGTAAATACTTTATTTCGTTGTTTTCTTTCTGTAGAGACGTAAGGTTGGTTTTTTAAACATATACGGTCTTCAAGCGGCACATAGGGCAAACCTTCTTTTTGAATAGTTACTATCGATAGCGAAAGCGGCACGCAGGGCAATTCCATCGGGCAGGGAAACAGATTTTTGTACGTTTGGGACAGTTCTTATAATATTCAAACGGTCTTCAAGCGGGACGTAGGGCATGAACGGTCTTTCAGATAGATAATATTGGTTTGTAAGCGGCACGTAGTTCAATTTGATCGGACAGGGAAACAAATTTTCTGTACGACTGTGCAGTTCTTATGAGTGACGGTCTTTAGGTGGTTCAGTAGTTGTGCTTTTCGGGGAGGGATCTCCTTTTATAGTAAAAGCTTCATATTCCTTTGCGAAAAATTTGAAGGATTCTCTGACAAAGCTCTTAGAGTTGCCGTCGGAATTGATTCTGAGAGAAAAGGGTTTTTTTAGTACACAATAATTGTTATGGGTGCATTTCTATTTCCAAACCGATAGGTGTTCTACTACTTACTTAACAATCTTTTAGGGAACTTGTCAGGTATAAGGGTTCGCGATTCCCTTACCTGATGTGTAGCGGGTTTACATAAGCTTACTATGATGTTTATTATAAACCAGTGCGTCACCTCTGCTTCGCAGAGGCTCGCACTGGCTCTACTATCTATGTGCCTTACTCATTCTCGTAAAATCGTGGCAATGGAACTTACCGCACTATGCCGACTACCACGAATTAAATGTAAACAGCTACTCATTCAGAAAGTTTTTTCACGTGGGATCGGTGATTTCGCGTGGATGAAACTTTTCGTAGGAAGACAAACGCAAATTTGAATAGGTTTTTGAAGTTGTCATGGCTTGGTAGTCCCCTTAAAGGCAATAGTAACCGTGAGCTACATCTCCGTGCGAAAATCTTTTGAAACGCTTAGCTAGAACCTTAGCAAATTAACCATTTACGCAACCAACTCTTTCTGGCGCCGTTTTCGTTATGTAGCAAACTTTTGACCACTTTTTGGGCTAAAGTCCATCGCTTGCACATTTGCTTACCAAACACATCCAGGACTTTGCAAAAAGTGGTGATATGGACCCAATTTTGCGGGACAGAAGCCAGGTGGATCTGTTTGGCGCGCAATTTCTGAGGGACCCATTCAACGAATCTATTCGTGCTTTTGCACGTTGAACTTTCATGAAGGTAGCATGCGCTATGCAAAATTTGGGCTTAGAACGCCGGCTGGAACACGCTCTACGAATTTCGTAACAGACGGACACACACACACACACAAAAACACGTAAACAACCCTTAGCCCGTTATTATAAGGTCTTGATAGTTATATACAAAAGGGGGAAAAGGGGAAGGGGAAGACGAACGGCTACTGCCGGCGGTCGGAGGTCACTGCCAGAGGTTGGCTGTCTTCGGCCAACCTCCTTCTCGAGCAGCTGTTGTAGCTAGCTGCTCCCGACATCTTCATTCCTTCAGAAAGCTCGTCCTCGAGCTTGTGACATAGTCGGGGTTTCGACTGTTGTAGTTGGCATTGGCGTGGTTGATGTTCTTCCGGGTAACTTGCGTTGGAATATGCACGTAATATACGGCGAGAACAGTTGATATATGGCATAGGTAATGTAGTGTAGAGTGGAGATAGATTTGTTCTTCCGAGTAACGTGCGCTGTTGAAGTAAACATGTGATATACGGCGAGAACATACAGTCGAATTAGTGGTATATTAAAATACATACGAATATGAGGATATGGATCCGGTGGACTACGAGCAGACACGACTTTCACCTAGAATATCCCATGGCTTTGAGTAAGATCGTCCTCGAACTTGGAGGTAGCTGAGGAGCGGGGGAGGACTGCGGAGAGATGCAGTTAACGTGAATGGGGTTCCCGGCATGATGTTGGGAAGGACTTGGAGTGGAGTTGTAGGAAATGGAGATCGACCGATTGATATTGGGGCATGATAGAATTGGAGTTGATCAAAGGGGCAAATGATTCAACATTTGGGGTGGAGTTTACAGCGTGTAGAAAAATTGTACTATGAA